CAAAAACATTTAATTAAAAAGAAATGATTAAAATTCTTTAATTAGTATAGTAAAATTGTCTTGGCTTAATCAATCAGTAGGGTTTAAAAAACTAAAAGTAATATAATAATAAAAAATATAACCATTGTTAGTATAATTTTCCCTCGGGGATCTTTCCGTTTTTACGTTAATATCTTCGTTATACACCATTTGATTTTCACTGGTATATTCGGTCAACTCGCTAACCAATATTGACTTACGTTGATTAGAGAAAGCCCGATGTAAATGATTTGTTCTATTATTTCACTTAAACAGGAATAACAAATATACCCTACTTTGTTTTCAAAGTTAATCCATAAATAGAAAAACTATTATGGTTCATATCGCCAGCCATTGATATGAAGTATACATCAATTTTGTACCACGGATGCAATACAGATCATCAATGATTTCCTCATTGACTGTAATGTTAATTCTTGTATCTTAGACCAGCTCTAACCTTTTCATAAATTTTCGTTGGGTAGAACGCTTTCTACCACAGACGAAGCAAGATGTGCCCAAAAGCACGCATGAGGATCACCATGGAAAACTTGAGATATACAAACTGGAAGTAGACTAATAAACATGCAATTTTCTGCCCTATATTTCAACCCAACGAACCTCTTAACTCTTGTATCCTTCCGCCATAAAATCATCAATATTCACCAAAACCTGACAGAAAATGTATATTTAAACCTTTTTCTTCAATTCTATACCAAAAAGTTAAAAAAGATGGCCATGCTAAAAGAGGAAAAAGGGAAAGGCTGAGGTAGACTAAAAAATCGCTTTGTTCATATACGTCCCACACAAACAATAAGATCCTATAACTGGGTCTTGGCGTGATTTTCTCGAGACAAATGCCACTACTGAAATTTCGGTATCATTTTCAAGATAAGCAAGAAATGCTAGGAAATAGATAATAAAAAAAAAAACCCACAAAAAAAAATAAAAAAATAAAAAGATTTTTCGACCAACCGACTGATCAACAACAGAATGAAAACAGAGATGAAATGAAATGGCAGGGCCGGCGGAAGCAATTCTTGATTGGGGGGGCTTCCATCTTAGGTCCTTATAGGCAAGGGTCCAGGGGCTGTAATAACCTGGAGAAAAGAGTACTCCGCCGGGCCTGGCTACGCCGGGCCTGAATGGGGTTTAAAGCCCGCGTTTTCTGCAGTAACTGGACTAATGAAGACCGGCATACGTCATTCAACTACCAATTACAACTAACAAAGGTTCTTTTACGTGCACGCGAACATGTATAAGGGACCTCAGTTCCTCGTCCCATCCGGGGGGGTTGGATGGTCGAATGGTTAGCACGTGCGTGCTGTATCTTAAGACCTGTCATTGAGTCAACTGGCGTGGTTTCGAATCCCCGGTTGTACGTGACAAGGAGTAGGGTCGCCTGTCCAGCCTCGTGGGTTTTCTCCGGGTCCTCCGGTTTCCTCCCACTGCTAAAGACCCCTACGCGCAAGCGAATTATTGAAATAAAATCAAACCATATATTAGTCCCGAAATGACCTAGTTTGTGTCGAGTGGACGTTAAACCCCATTTCTCTTTCTCTCTCTCTCCCTCTCTCTCTCCCTCTCTCTCTCTCTCTCTCTCTCGTCCCATCCGACCGACTAGACGCTATTTCTTGTCATTTGCGGCCCCACTGACCGAGACGAACCAGACTGCACTGCTCTATCAAAGCATTGCTTGCCAAATCAAATAGCTCACTTCGTGTGGGGTTTTCCTGGTTAATCAAGTCCGTGGACGTATTTAGTCGCGGTTGTCAAAACTACAATCCGAAACCAACATATTTATGGATATGGTAAATGTCGTTTAAATTTTGTTATACTATTGTTAACCGGTTGTTTACCAATCGTAATATGCCACAGATACTGTAGTTTAATCCAGCAAAATGTGTCTTGACATTTCATAGAGAGGGGGATCCAAGAATAGAAATGAAATGAAATGGGGTTTAACGCCCTACTGTTCTGCTCCTATACTGGGCTAATGAAGACGGGCATACGCCATACAGTGTGTCCAAGAATAGAGAAATATGTCTTGGAATATCCGCGGATATATCAATCTAATATTAATCAGGGAATATATAGAAAACAAGTACGAACGTACTATGTACCAGGAAAAATGTATGACGTCATTGCCGCCATCTTGGAATTTTGACGGCATACCAAGGCCGAGAGAAGTATACAACAAAAACATGAGTTAATAGAATGATTATTTAAAGACGCCATTAAAACTATTAATTAACGCGGTACAAGAATAATTGATAAAGCTAAAATAAATTAGTTGAGACCGCGTCTCAAAGACATATAATTTCACCAGATACAAACATCAAATAGATTGAACAAAACAACACCAGTCATGTAGCGTTGAGGCTAATTAACCGCGCGCATATTTTGAACTTTTTAAAGACCGTATCACCTTAACGATTGTTGCCGATCAGTGTTTTTTTTTCTATTTAATATATAATTGTGTCAAGTCAAGCTAGTTTGTTTTGATCACAACATTTGAAACAAATATGCCAATCAATTGCCAAGATGAAATGAAATGAAATGGAGTTTAACGTCCTACTGTTCTGCTCCTAACCTGGGCTAATGAAGACGGGCATACGCCATACAGTGTGCTATGAGGGAAATTTTGCCCGGACAGCGGCACTACGGCCTACTCTTATATCGAATTCCAACTGCCAAGGGATCTTTTACGTGCACGCCAATGTGTACACGGGACCTCGGTTTTTCGTCCCATCCGAACGACTAGACAGCTTTCCTTGTCAGCCCCTCCGTCCTGCATCACTGACTAGGGAGAACCACGCCGGAAAATCTGGATGAACTTTCTCGGCCAATGCAGGGATCGAACACCCGACCTCCAGGCTAGCGAGCTAGCGTCTTACCCACTTCGCCACGTGATCCCCCCAATTGCCAAGATAAAGACACCTTAAGATTCAGTTGACTGAACGGAACATGCTGCAAGTAGGTACGTGCTTGAATTTCGACAATAAGATGATTTTAATATTATTATTTTGAACTAATTACATGTACATGTATTAGAACCCGTGAGACTTTCACCCATCTTTAAATTGGTTCAGTTCAATAGCCGCTAGTGCAATGGCTTTACTGTAAAAAAAAACAAACCAGTGCTTCGAAAACTAGACGAATCTATGATTATTGTGAACAGCATGTTATAGAACATTAATGGAACTTATAATTATTTCGCAACACCTAATACCTTTTGTAATAGAAATGAAAAACGCATTTGATATGCAACCCTCGTCGTTTTCCGTTTATTTAACCGACGAATTCCTAAAAACGGCGTTATCACCATCCGTCAGCATTTAAACCAGATCGAAGAGTGAAGCAATTAGCTTTGAGGACAATATTCAGATTTCAACCAATCCCGCACAGTTAATAGTCAAATATACGGAAATTGAAATTAAACGAATATCCTGTACAGAGCTACCCATGATTGATGAGAGCTCTAATGCGTTGGAGTTGAGGAGAGTGAAAATACAATGACTGTCATCGAAGCTAAGGAATGACTAATTTCGTATGAATAAAAAACGAAATGAAATGGGTTTAACTGCTCTGCTCCGATTAGGTTTTTTTTAAAGGTGAGCATGCGCCAGGCAGTGTGCTATGGCGCAGACTTCTCTTTTAACGAATTCCAACTGCCAAGGGTTCTATATGTTGTCCCTTGCCGGGCTTCTGCCACGCATCATTGAAAAGGGGGGGGGGCACGCCAGAAATCCTGATGAAAGTTTCTCGACCAACACTCGAACACGAGACATACAGGATATCGAGCTAACGTCTTACTCACTGAGCCACCAAACCATATGAACACAAAGCAGACTCTGTATCATTTACTAAACCAGTACAGCAGATACTCAACCAAATCTTGTATCTTTCTGTTAAAGTGCTTTACACATGTAAAACGTCTGTTTAATTAAACCATAAAATCCATTTAGTCCAACACAATGTTTACATTGTATTTTGCCAAAATATATTTGGAATATATCTGCATCAACATTAAGTAACATTATTTATTTACCATGACAGTATACTACTACTGAAGAGAATCTGTATCTACGTATAGAAAAATAATACGCAAATTAATAACGCAGGGGTGTATGGCTTTTCCACAAAACAGCACTAGTTTCTTTAAAGGTCATATTAATTTAATAAGGAAATTAGACGTGCATACGTCATAGGCATACAGTGTGCTGTTGGGGTCATTTTAGCAGGACACTGAGCCAACACAGCACCCTTTCCGAAATAGAGTGGAGCTCCAAAATGAAAATACAAATGTATAGTATTGTGATGGGTTAAACCCCAAGGTGGATAATATTAACTCACCTGTGTGCAAATTCTTAAATTTTTCGGGTGGTGTATAGCTAAAAATAAAATATATAAATTTACAATAGTGTAAACAGTATATATATCGTATATGTATTTAAAACTAAAATTTATACATTTTAATTAAACAGTGCATAAGTATTAGATATATAAATAGGGAGCCACGGTGGCTGGGTGGTTAAGACGTTGGCTCGCTAGCCTGGAGGTCCGGTGTTCGATCCCTGCATTGGCCGAGAAAGTTCATCTGGATTTTCCGATGTGCTTTCCCCTTGTCAGTGATGCAGAACGGAGGGCCTGACAAGGACAGCTGTCTAGTCATTCGGGATGAGACGAAAAACCGAGGTCCCGTGTATACATTGGAATGCACGTAAAAGATCCCTTGGCAGTTTGAATTCGATATAAGAGTAGGCGATAGTGCCGCTGCCCGGGCAAAATTAAACCCCAATTCATTTCATTTCAAATATATAAATAACATGTGTAAATATGTGCCCACTTGTTACTATATTCGTATAAAGTGAATGTTTTAGAAATCTGATCAATTCACATTTACTGAGTACTGTATCTGTTAAATGGACTCGACCAAACTCATTCAGTGACTGTAAACATTATGGATTCTGCCAAGAAAATTTTAATAGTTTGCTGAACTATGGATCGTAGTAGCCGAAGGTCTCTATATTATGTGAATTATGTGAATATGTAGAAATTTAGTTCTTGGAATTTTCTAGAACACAAGGAAAGGTAAAGTATTTACTTGCTTAATTTCTACACATAGTAAGAAAGTACGGAAATCTATCGTGATGTTACAGAAGGACAAGCGATAACGTGAAACTAAGAAATTTATGCCTGATCTTCCAGAATCTACAGATACAACTTCACATTTAAAGAGTCATTATGCAAGAGCTAAATCTGCCTATTGCAGGTCTTTATTTTGGCGGCAAATGTTATATAGATTATTATTTAGAAATGTATTCACCTGACAGCCCTATAATTAACTCCCTATAACATCGGAATGAAATAAGATCGCCATTTAATGATTTAATTTAAAAATGGAAAAGCGAGACTAACAAGTAACATTGCTATACGATAATAAACAATCTATGTCAAAACGCCAGTGATAACGTCGCTCAGAATAACGTATTTTGAATGAAATTTTCAATATCTATTTCGGAACTCCTATAGCAAGAACGGCCAGCTCCTCTTTATCTAAATCTTACTTAAGCATCTATAAGTCTTCCTGAGGGGGGGGGGGGGGGGTTGGATGGCCGAATGGTTAGCACGTGCCTGCTGTATCATAAAGCCTGTCATTGAGTCAACTGGCGTGGTTTTGAATTCCCGGTTGTACGTGACAAGGAGTAGGGTCGCCTTTCCAATCTCGTGGGTTTTCTCCGGGTCCTCCGGTTTCCTCCCACTGCTACGCGCAATGACCTAGTTTGTGTCGAGTGGACGTTAAACCCCATCTCTCATGAGACTCTTTATTATTAAGAGGGGTTGGATGGCCGAATAGTTAGCGCGTGCGCGTTGTATCGTAAGGTCTATCATTGAGTCAACTGTCGTGGTTTCGATTCCCCGGTTGTACGTGACAAGGAATAGGGTCGCCTGTCCAACCTTGTGGGGTTTCTCCGGGTCCTCCGGTTCCTCCCACTGCTAAAGACCCCTACGAGCAAGCGAATTATTGAAATAAAATTGAATCATATGTTGGTCCCGAAATGATTAGGTTTGTGTCGAGTGGACGTTAAAGTCTGTGTTCTCCTAGGGCATACAGAGGGTCTGACAAGGAGAAACGTTAAGTAAGTCGGGTAATGTTTTATGATGGGCGGCACATTGAATATCGTCTGAGATTCGGAAATTGACAAAAGTGTTTCCTGGTGAGGTGCATGGAAAATTATTGGAATTGGAAAATAAGTTGACGAATACATACGATTTTGCGGATTATATTCTCCGCCCAATCAATGTCCATAGTTTAATCTTCGTATGTATGTATTACCTCCACCCATTACTCCTTCTTTGTAGTATGTAAAGTATACTTCATTCGTTTTAAGACAGAAATATTAGGCTTACGATAATACTAAGGTGACTTAAGTTTGATAAAGACGAGAGTATCATCGTCGAAACTTTGAATATCAATAAACCAGTAATTGTTATTCCGTAAATAGTGTTATGTTTCTCTTACAAAGACTGGAAATTGTTGGTTTATATAAATTGCTACTTCAAGGGTTCTTTTTGGATTTTCTCCAAGACTGAATTGAAGGATATCTGAACATGGCGTCAGAATTCAACACTGGTACTGCTCATTTTCTTTAAAGAGGCATTAAATCTACAAGAAAATAACATTAATTCCACCTAATATCACATTACAGGGAAACATCATATTCCTGAAGCAGTGGCGCGAGAAATCCCTCTCTGGCCATTGCTGGATTGACTTCTGATACTTGAGTTTTTGATGGAGTGTGTCTTTTCTTCCGATTCATTCAAATCTCTCGTCATAAGTACAGCAACATGGCAACACTTCGTTTAATCTGGGGTCTTCCCTAAAACTTTCGACAGCGATTTAAGGTATTAAAGACGGTGAAAGTATTGTTCGTCTCCAAACAGTATTGTTTACAATGTAACCGTTGATAGCCTCGTTTGTCACGCAATTAGTTTTTCTGCAAGATTCTGCTATGCCTTGGTTAATTGTGGGTAAAAATTTCGCTAGTCATGGCGTAACGTTATGTAAACAATGTGGACCTCCGTTTAAACCCGAAAACGCGAATGACATTGTTACGCAGTTACGCATTGGTTGTTAATCGGACTATTGACTAGTCATAATTTTGAACAGAAAAAAAAAGACTTCATCAATGCAAGTACCATGACGTACGAGGTCCATTAATATCATATTTTTTTTTATTTTTGACTTGTACCTCAACCATCCCGAACACATCTCACAATTATCCATGTCTGTTAGATTTGTAAGATGGCCTTTAAGATGGTATCTGGTTTAATTTAGCCATTTTATCCATTTATTTCCTCCACTACTGCCCATTATCTCCACACGTTTACATCGTTATTTTGAATTACTGGCATTATTCTAAGTAACCAAACAGATTTAAATACATCGGTGAGAGTTATGTTCTCTTATAGACAAGTCAAATAAATAATGAGTCAAATAACATTTATTTGTGTCTTCTCATTTTTTTTTTTTTAAAAAGTAATTTAAGCTGGATTGCTCCGAGAACTGAAAAAAATAGAGTTTTTCTAATAGGCTTGAAAATGAAGAATTTATATTAAAGGTCTAAATATTAGAAACTAAACCGCAAATATATACATGTACTATCATACATCAACCCAATACAATTCATAGTCTTAACAAAACGAAGATGGTTAAAGGGCGTATGGCTTTATTTTTTTAGAACATTAAAATTGATGAAAATGGCTCTAAACCAACACAAATGTAAATTGTAATATGAATGACAATGTAATTTATATTCAACAAGTTTTTTTTAAAAAAAAATATTCCTTTGCCGTTTTTGAATCAGCAATATTGCTAATTACATCCCATATTTTCATAGCAAAATAACAACATCACTATTGACTGAAATGGTGAAATATTGAATTCTAGTTCTAATTTCGAATAATAGTCAAATATTGAGTTAGAAAAAGTCTATCAATCTAAATAAACATTGTTTTGATTTCATAACGTTATTGTAGAATCGCCAAAAGGTTGCTCAATGTTAATGCATTTCTATCCATGAACATCGAGTTCGAATGTAATACCTAATCTAGGTTTATGCCACGGAGAATGAGTGTGCTATTATATAATTAAATAATATGTAAGACAATGGTATGGTCAGGTGTTTCAAACATGTACTAATTAAGTTATTAAGACATCACGTTAATATTAGTAGATACTAGAATATTATTCCTGGCGGATAATAATATATGTTTTATATATTTGACAGATGATCAGCTGGTCAGTTACCACACGTTAACATATTTTTTAATCTTATTAATGAATGTACAATTATAATTTATTACCTATGTTATAAAAGTTACTTTAATATAAATGGGTCTAGGTTTTAGACCATGACAAGTACCTTAGAGGTCATGGCGAAATAAAGGAAAGGAGCTAAATATGGAAGCAGACCTTTAAATTAGGACGATGTCGTAATGACTACATATTGTGTTATGCTGTTCCTGTGTGCTGTTGTTATAGACGTAATGAATTTTAATATTCGTTCCTGCATTGTTGAAATAAAGAAGTCGAATCCACAGACATCGTTATCAGTAGATAGTTTGATCCACTGTTATAAATATTTAGATAGTAACCATCATACGATGACATTATATAACATCTGAATCGCCGTTAAACTAGATTCCTATAAGTACTACTCCAACTTGAACCACGGTCTGATAAAGTCTCCATTAGTAATTACTGTCAGCATTATTGAACATGTGTACTTATATCATTAACCAGGCATCAGACAGCATTATATTTTATTGTTTAGTAAAAACCCCTATGTTATAGATAATAACCCCATTGGGAAAACATCTGGAATGTTTATTTAGGATGTTTATACAGAAATAGAAAGTTCTTGTATTATCATTTGATTCAATTAGAGGAAAGTTTTGAAACGATTACACACAAAATAACAGCTGTAATTATTGTTGCAATGCTGGTATCCGTTTAAAAGAAAGGAGTTTCTGCTTAACATTACTCCGTACAATATTCTGACAGGCATACCATTTGCAAATAATCCACCTTCTTGATTAACCCGTCCAGTATCTATATATATGCCCTGCATCTCGGAATCACGGTACCAGTCCTGTTTCATGACTAACAACGCAGATACCTTCATATTAATTTACTAATTTGTGGCTCATGTTGATCTAGTTTTATTTCAATCTCTCCAAATTTTTGTGTGTATGCTACAGAAGAAAATTATAATTTTTGTCTTGTCTTCAACTAGATAAAATACCCTCATGCATGCGAAAGTTTATAATCATTCTGTCTGCCCATCCTTCGACAAAATCTCGTATATGTAGGTCTTATTGTGTAAACAGGTTTGACTGATAAACACAGGACATGAAAATAGTCAATAATGAATAAGATGTCTCTACTACGATGTGATATATAAATATCTTAATGTAAAAGTATAACAATTCTTATTTGTGTGGATGTAATTGTGAGATTACGACGTGTTTGTAAACATCTAGCACTGTCCATGGAAGTGAGTAAAGGCTATCCTTTTTTCTTTATATAACGAACGATACATAGCGACTGAGAAAGCATATCATTAACAGCTGTCTTAATCATATCTCTCGTTAGTAATTAGTGTGTTTTTTTGTTGTTATGAAAGTCAGTTTTTGTTATATTTGTTGGAATATGATTATAATTCTGTTTGAGCACTTTTCTCTTGACAGAAATGAAATTGAATCTAATGCTGATTACTATTTAGTGAGATGCAGTCTATTTTTTTTATAAGAATTGCCATTATGTTCAATAAAGTCTTATTAGATTCGACCAATCATCAGGTCATGGGCACCTAAAGTGCACGTCACGTTGTTCTGATTTTAGACCGCCATCTTAATTTTCTGAAATCTATTATACCTCTTGACTACAGCCCATTTATATACACCAACATCGAGGCCATGGTAGTATGTAATATAAATTTTTCTTGTATCTTAATCGTATAAATTACTAATTCCCAATTAAAGGTTACGTCTAAATTATCCTCAAAAGAATATCCCCAGTATTTATC